GTACACGCTCCTGTTTCATGTTCTTTTCTTGGAAGCTGTAGCTTCTGCAAACACCAAACTGGTGGTGTGCGTTAAGACTCATATATACTCAGGATTAACTTTTTGGCTAGGTTTATTTGTTCGCAAGTAGTAACAAGTGCATCGCTACTAGTAACGAGAAGCTACTAGGGGCTCCTGGCATCGCTACTAGGAGCAAGGACGCTAGGTTTATTTGTTGAGTCCAAGTTCGCCACATGGGGACGACAGATCCAGTGGAAAGGTTTGCCTCCAGACTGCCATGCTCAGATAAAGACTTAATCTCTGCCGAATAGCCCAAGAATTGATGGCTCACAACCATTCTAGCACTGGGTTCTTCATAGATGTCGATTCTTGGGATATATCGAAATCTTGGCAGGTTTGTTTTGCGGTGCTTTGCAACTTTTCTAAGGCCTCAGGCGGAGACCAAGCTCTCCCGGAAAACAAAAGAGGCCCGGCAGATGTCTGCATGCATCTTGACCGCTCAAGACTTCACCCAAGTCCGATTTAGAGATACCCTCCGCAGCTTCAATGCTCTTTCGAGGTGAGGGTGGTTTGCTTCAACAAAGCCCGTCGTGAAATGATCCCGGGGACACCTGACCTTTGCCTTTTTGCAGGTTTTCAGAATCCCTTGCTATTGTGAGAACATCAACGTATGCTTTAACTCTTGAACAAACGGATGACACAAAGAAGGTGTGGGTCCCTCTACTAATAAGGCCCCTCTATTTCTCTTTGAACTTGGTTCCACAAAAAAAGCACCTCAGCTGTGTAGTGCCCGTGTGGTCGGAGAAGGCCTTGGCGCGCCTTGAGGGCGGTCCGTCGAGGAGCCGTGCGGCGTGCTTCGGTGTGTTCTTGGACATGGCCCTAAAATTCGATATTCCCACACGACTGTGAGTGTACTGTAAGACAACTATACAAATCACGTTTGACCGTGGTGGTTTTGTCTTTTCTGCACTCCAGGTGAGGATATTGATCAAAAGATACTTCATGACAGGGCACATAGCTGCAGAGAGCAGCCAAGCCAGATAGGCTCTTTGAACAGGGTTTTAGGTTAGGACAACTGATAACGTGGCGAGTTGCTGAGATGACCGCTGGAGCTCAAGGATTGCTTGTCCAAGGCAATAACCTTCTTCCTATTTGTTGTCCCTTTCTAACAAGCCTAGGATAGGTTCACTGCGGGGTGGCAGACTCCAAACAAAGCATGTGTCAAGTGGGAACTATGTTGTAAAGTGGGCTCTATGTTTGTTCCATGTTTGATAGCGAGCATGACCCAAGGATTACAGGATTGCATAGTTTGTGTCAGCAGGGCAATACTGCAAAACCCACAACTATGCTGGTAGCTGCATGGTATCACCCAATGTTTGTGCCTTGTCAATTTGTTGAGCTTCAAGCGCTGCAAAAAACTCTGGAGGAGCAGCTACAGTGAAGCCTTCGACTATCATGGTTCGGCTCCACTCAGGACAGAACATCAGAATTGTCCCTCCAGGAGAAAGAGACATCAACATTGACCCTTCATGCATTGAGTCTGCGCAATGGATGACCGCAGCTACTATGCATTCCACAACCAAAGCTTTGCTCGGATTGCAGATCGTGTCCATGCAAAATAAAGAGGGCAGATAGAATGTATACATACATCATTGTCCAATGCAATGGTACAGCTTGCAGGAGCAAGTCTGTTGGAAGCTTGAAGTCCCAGGCGCAGAAAAAAGCAATAAGTAGGAAGCAACAGCTCCTGCTAAATTTCAGCTTGGTTCATGGTCTTCACATGTGCTGTGGTTGAATAATGGACATTTGTGACCAACTTCTTGTTCAAGAGTGAGAAGGCGCGCTGGATGGTTCTTTGTTCTCTTGCTGAACAAGGATATATATAAATATATACACATATCTAATATATACCAAGAAACAGTGTAGGCTGCAGATAAGCGTCAGAAGCGCCAGTTTGTGCATGCCTCAGCACGTGCAGAGACTCTTTTGAGCTTTGTAGATCCAAAATGTCATTGTTACTACTAGTAATGCCCCTGTGACTAATAGCGATGACCTTGTTGCTAAATCTTGCCTTGCGGCTTTGAGGCCACAACCTACTCAGAGAGCTTCCAGAATTTTGGCCCTGAGTGGTATCAGAAGATGTCCAAGGTGGCTTTGCTTTATGAGATATATTGGACCAGGCTCCCACTCGCGGGTAAAAGGTTCTTTGGATTTGGATCTGTCCTCCTTTGGAATGCCGTCCTGGTGATTGGCCCTGGCAATAGTTTCTTCCATTCTTTGAAGACTCAAGCACATGCAAACCCGGTTAGATTCTACTGCTGGAAGCGATTTCAGGATCGCAGTTCACCTGTTCCACGGGTGATGGGTGCGGAAGAGCTGCGACAAGAGCAGCGGAAGGCGGATCGAGAGGCACAGGAAGTACTCTACAAGTGAGTCTGCCAAATTTTTCACCTCAATACTATGCAGCTAAGTCTGTCACTCCACCCATTCCTTTGTCTATGTCTGAGGTGAGTTGAAAACCAGAGATCTTGTGAAGGCGTTGCATTCAGAATTTGAACTTGAGACTTTGCCGTTTTTGGGGCGAGACGCGATGGTGTAAGTCGATGCCCTTTGGGGATATGCTCGGTTGCAAGCACCCTGCCTCAAATTTGGCTTCTAGACTGAGCAGGATGGGTTCTCCCATTCATCAATATTTTTCCCTGATTTCACGTGACCTGAGAGGCTGAGTACTGGGCTACAATCATTAAAGCTCGTGCCATGGAGGAGCTTGGGTTTTTTGGTTTGTGCACTTGTATCGTTTGGGCAACCGTGACTGTCAGCTTCGCAGGAGCAGAACAAAGATGGCACGTACATGCAGAAATACTTTGGGCCTTTGCAGGCACACTCACTAATACCACCCGCACAATTTCCAGCCCAATAGCAATGCCCTCCAACCTAATAGCGATGGCCTCCAACCTAATATATATATATAATATATATATATAGCGATGGCCTCCTCGTCCAACCTACTAGTCCTCATTCAGAGCCTCCTATCTATCCTCTTGAAGCGGCGCATGCTAGAGCGTCCTTTTTCTTTTCATTTCAGCTGTGTCGCAAGTTCTTGCTTGATTGACTTTTTGTAGTATTTCTACACTGAGTGCTTCAGAATGCTTCAGACAAGGTGAGGGTTTGTGTTGACTCAAACACAGAGTCTGGCCAGGGCTCGCTGCGGGAACTTGCTCTCACTTTGACCGGTGAGGGTGAAATCAAAGGCTCATTCGTCCTTTTCTCAGACGGATCACGCCGTGTGACTCTGGCTGAACAAAGTCTCTGAGTTTTGACGTTTTGGACCCCAAACAAGAAGCTACTAGTAACAAAGGGCATCGCTACTAGGAGCAAGGACGCCACTAGTAGCTCCTGGCCTTACTACTAGTAACAAGAAGCTACTAGTTTCAAAGGGCATTACTTCTTGTTTTGTGTTCCAGACGAGTCGTTGGGTTGTGACGTTGAAAACCCTGACCTCTGCGATGCACCTACGAGTTTAAGGTCGGGGGGCCTGCTCCGAACACTTGGAAGAGTGAGGCGCGGCCAGTGCACTTGGATGATTGACTACGCGATGGCTAACCAGTGAGGTGAACGACTCATTGACTAGTGCAGCTACTAGTGCATAAGCTTCCCGGAAGCCAACCTTGAGTTCAGTCCAGTGTTCAAGGAAGCAGACAATAAGCATGTCCTACTTGTGGCAGTGCCTCATAACATGTGCTGGAAGGGCTTGAATTTAGCTACTAAGAGCAAGGACGCTACTAGTGGCACTACTACTAGGAACAAGAAGCTACTAAAAGCAAAGGGCATCGCTATTAGGAGCAAAGAGCTTGGCCGTGCCGGTTTGACAGTTTCAATTGATCGCCCTGAAGGCGAGAGCTAACTTCACACAGAACGCCTTCTCCAAGACGAGCGCTGCAAAGTATGAGTTGCTGCCGGCTCAGTTGACCATTGTTTAAAGGCTTCCTTCGCATCGTAGATTTTGGCAGGCCCAGTTTGGATCGGCAAGTTTAGTATTAGTCTCACACAAGAGCTCGTTTCTCAAGTTTAACACACGAGCTTGCAAATTGTACTGACACAAGTGTGCACACTGCAACAGGCAAATTGCAAAGACCAACAAATGAACACCCAAGTATGCTTTTGTGCTTGGCTATTTTGGGCGGAATCACCTAAATTGATCAAGACGGTTTGCTGTTTGGCGCTGCCGAGGCCAGCAAAGCTGGTGGCTTTGGCCAAGCTCAAGAACTCCTAGATGGCTCGATATGACCGAGAGCACGCCATACCAATCCTCTTGAAGAAACCTAGCAGCCATATTCAGCTGACATTATAGGTTTAGCTATATATGTTTAGGTCGGAGCTTATGATTCTTTGCATCCACCTTGTTGACTGGTTACAATGTGGCTTTGAACTATGGGTTTCTTCTTTTTCATCGCACCATTCCCATTTGTTCTGCTTGGTCATTCTTTTGTGCCGCCCGCCATTTGAAAGACAACATGAGCTTCAAAGCTCGCTGCTCGCTACTTACCTGCCACCAGGTTTTACCTGGCGGTCTCTTCTTAAGGAAGATGTCCAAAGTGTCCAAAGGTATCTCCTTTGTAGTACTCTGTCGGTTGTGTTTGCCCATTGAGCATGACCGCTGAGATCGGCAAAAGTTGCCTGAGAGAGAGAGAGAGAGAGAGAGAGTGAGCGGGGGGGACGTTGTGTGTGATGTTGTGTCCGTTTGTGCACTTTTGGACGTTCAGTTGGCAATCACTAGGACAGCCAACAATGCTTGCATCCGCTGTCAAAGTCCAAATGAACCAAAGATAGAATGTAGCTGTCTTCTGCAACACGTGGTCTTTGTAAGTCTTCTTCCACAATTTACTTAATTGGGAACATCTATATCTTGCCTACATGCAAATTGCAAACCATAGGTTGTGGACAGCCACAAGTAACAGAAGGAACCAAAGCGCATTTTATGGCTGGACGTATAGCTTGCCATGCATCCGCGGAACAAGCACCGGATCTATTTGGATTACCGTGAGTTGGCAAAGAAGCAGACAGGTTTGCAGCCCTTTGTCTTCGAAAACCAATGGGGGGGCGCCTCAATTGACTACTCAGATCCTGACGCCTTGGAAGAGTTGACCCGAGCCCTGCTGGCAGAATTCTATGACATCAGGCACTGGAGGCTTCCGAAAGGATATTTGTGTCCACCCGTGCCACAGAGAGCCGATTACATTCATGTCCTAGCAGACCTTCTACAGCACTCTTTGCATGAGATGGAACCTCGTGGTCCGTCAGTTTGTGGTCTCGATGTCGGGACAGGCGCAAGTTGCATCTATAGCTTGTTGGGCACACGGGAGTACGGCTGGAGCTTCATTGCCAGTGACATTGATGAGACTGCGCTAACCAATGCGGAGAAGCTGTTGAACGAAAACGGCCTTAAAGAGCGCATCACCCTGCGTCAACAACAGGATCCAAGACGGGCCCTGCGTGGGATTTTGCTTCCCCATGAAGTGGTGGCCTTTAGCATTTGCAATCCACCCTTCCATGAAACAATAGAGCACGCAAGACAAGCTGCATCTTCCAAGTGGAAGAGGCTTGGAAAGGAGCTGAAGAGGAAAAATTACCAGGCCGGGCAGCCTCAGCTTTGGTAGAAGGTCTACCTATCTATCTATCTATCTATCTTAACATAAATTAGATTCAGATCAACACCCTGCTTTGAAGAAGCTGAAAAGATATGGCTTGAACAGGGCAGCAGATTCATGCATTGCAAGAAAAAGTCTGCACCTTCGATCCACTAAAGTGGCTGCTATAGGCCATCTGAACGCATTGCCAGTTCTTCCTGATCTTAATTGACTTCCTTCCCAAGACTTGATTGACGATCAATTCCTGAATGGCCAACCGCCATCAGGGCCAGGAGCCAGAGCTTTGTTGCGAAGGTGGGGAGGTGGGCTTTGTGACGAGACTCATGGAGGAGAGCGCCAAGGTCGGCTGACAAGAGACTCGTGGATCCAAGCCTCTACCCGACCCAGAATCTTAAAGGACATAACGGGAAGAAGCCAGCGACACGACCTGAGGGATGGTATACTGATACTGCATTGTAAGGTGTTCGAAGGGTTGTAGGAAAGGCACATATATATATATATATCTATATTGCATTCTTGGGGCGAGAGTCTGACCTGTGAGGTGCGCTTCAGAAGCCGGTGCCTTTGGTACTCAAGCTTGCTCTCCAGGTGCCAAGGGCATTATGTTTCCATTCTCAACATATTAACATAAGAGTCCTGGAATGGAACAACAAAAGCATGGAATTTTATCAACGTAGAAATCAAGGTGTGTTCTTCCTCCCTTCGTAATATGTTTAATAAGAGAGCTCGACGTTATGCGGGTGTGGTTTTTACGTGCTTTTGTGGTGTTTTTCTTAGATTTTGTCCTGTTTAGTCAGAGTTTCCATGGTTATAGTCTAGATATGTTCTTGTGCTCCTGTTTCCTAAACAAAACCAACTTTTCTTGTTTAAAAAACC